AACACTTCCTTTGGTGAAAGTTTAGAGGAGCAAACAGTTGGTGCTCTGTGTAGTCAAGCAGTGGAGTTTTGCCACAATCATGAAGTTGATTAAGGTGTCAATTTTTGCTCTGGCTTCTGGGACACCTTGGATCTACATTGCAACCTATGCTAGTGTTCAACATTTTGTGTCATAGTAATCACTGATGCAAAGCGTGTTGCATCATACACAAATGAGAGCCAGCAAATTGTCAGATATTTTCTAGTGATAGAGAACTGCATGCCTTAAGCAATTGTTGAAGGTGATAAGTGGTGAATGGTAGGGCTCAGCCACTCAGCTCCTTCCTTCAAAAGCTATCAATCAGCTCTATAGAAGAATAGTCATAGCAATGCTTCATATGTGAATGCTACTTGACTGAACAGAACATTGTGGATTTGTTAATTAAGTACCTCTTTATTACAAGTTTGTGCCCATTACAAGCCAAGCTTAGTTAACTTAGTTTGTTGCAAGTTTTCCAGGCAGCCTTCACACTTGCGTCGCTGAATATTAAACTTTAACTGAAGACCGACGAGATATTGTCCCTTTCGCATCAGATTGTAATCAGTCAGTCGTGTTGGTAGAAGGTACAGTCTGTCTTAAAGTACCGCGCAAAGTGACGGTGGATCCATCAAGCCTGACCGAGGAAGGGCCTGCTATAATTTGAAATTCACCGAACCAATTGACCTGGGGAACGGACGAGGATGTCATGTAGAGCCACGCAGAAATCGCCGGTGATTCGTTGCACATCGTTACAGAATGAACGCATGCCGGATGAAGGGTTAAGTCAATAGTCTGTACAAACTATATACAGGGATGTGATTGACTTATCTGACAGTGATGAGCGCTAGAGGTCAACTTAAGACCGTAGGTATGCGTTCTTGTCATGGAATGTGTGCTGCAAATCGATTGTTTCATGCGTGTGAATATATGTCTGAATGTAATAAGGTTTTTAATTTCAACTGTGTAAGTTAAAATATGTGATAACATCGTATCTTTCGTACTCCGTGGCTTTTGGTGACCATTCGATCAGCTCCCTTTCCTTCCACTCAATGACGATGTAGTAGTTTGCCTTTCACACGCGTCATTGTCTTCTTATATCGAAATCAACTGTAGCTACTCATTTTAGCAAAATGATGAACCTGAAAAAGATATGAAACGCAGTTTCCGTTCGCGGCGCGTCGGCCGCCGTCGCCGCCCGCAGTGTTATCCCCGGCCCGGCCGGCGCGTTGTGTCCAAAGCATACCGTGCTGCCACCTGGCGAGACTTTTCGGAACTCTTAGCGCGAACATCCCCAGTAAGAAACGGATGAAAAAGGCACAACCAAGGCACAACTCTGCGCGGCAAACAACGGACAATGTCCCACGCAAGATCCCGCGTTTCTTCAGCGGCCTTGAACGGAATGAAAACATTACATTTCTTTTTTGGAACTATTTGATGACGTCAAAAATACAATACCCGTTTTAATGGTCAAAATCGAGACAATTACTCACAAAAATGTTTCCCTTTAAGCATTACAAATAAATACTTTTAAATATGTAAATGACATTGTTTTTTCAAACAAATCAATATTATTTGCTTACTTAAACGTCATATACAATGCTGACGCTGAGATCACTACGGGGTTGTCTTAGAGTGTAGCTGCACTGGCAACCTTTAGGCTAGACTCCAGGGGTCATTATACCAGAACAACATGATTCTACCAGCCAGTAGTTCATTTTTCTGCTAGATTGGTGCTACGCTCAGCATTTAGGTGCCAGATTCAGAAAAAAGAGTAAGGCGTACCGATGAATAGGTGCCAGAAACAGCTAATTAAGGTCATTTTCCATGATTGGTGCTGGTATCCACCAAATAGGTGCTGAGGACCAATTTTGGGGCGAGTCAGCTTTTAGGTGCCAGAAATAGCTTTTCTGGGACGCAATTAAATGGCGTCCAAATTTTTGTCCGCGATAGCAGCCCTGTCCAAACAGCTGATTTGAGAAGAACATCATCCAGCTGATGAGGTGCAACGATTAAAGCCAATGATGAAAAGAAAGATCATCAATCGTAAGATAAACACAAAATTAAATGTCAGAATGAAATTTAGGTTAATATTAACAATAATGTTGCCTTTTTATAATGCTTTATTCATTAATTCTAGGGTGCAAAGCACAACATGGAAGAAGTCGAAGATCCATTTCACAACTTTCAAGTGATGAAAAACGTTGAAATAATGTTATGATAGTTCACGCTGCCTTTCAAATTTTTAAGCATTTTAAATTGTAAATACTTTATGAAAACTAATCAATAAAAGATATATTTAGCATTTTATTCAAGCATAACTCAGCTGTGATGACCATGGAGAATGATTACAATAGCCCCGTTTACATAGGAGTTGCCAGATTCACATGCCAGCTCGATCTACTTTCAGGTGTTCGGCCTCCGCCATGTCGACAAATGCTGCGCAGCAAATACAAAATCCAGAAATGTGGTAATGGAGTTCTGGCCACCAAATAGAAAAAGCCTGCCAAGTTTATGATGCTCTTCATGTTATGTAGTTTTGATAATAAACGACGCATGGGCTTCAAATGAATTGTGTGTCATACATTTGGGCATCATATGAGTGGAATATTGCAAAGTTTTTACCCATCATTTAAGCATGAGACTAAATTGTTTCCATGAAAGCGATGAAAATAAAGCTGATTGTTGAGTTCGATGCACTCCTTGCAGCTTATATTTAGCGGATTGCATTTATTCTTATCCCGCGCCCGGCTGGGGGTCCTGGATTTCCACGCCCTGCTGGGGGGGGGGGGTGTTTGAACACCCCCCCCCTTGTAACTCGGCTCCTGGGCCACGTAGCGATACGCGGAAGGCGGCGTTCGAAAGAGCGTCAAAAATAATGACGAAATCACTTCGGTCAATTTTTTGGTCAGGTCAAAGGTCAGGTCACCAGAGGTCATTGAAGGCAAAATTTCGCCGATTTCCAGGTCGAATGTCAAAAATTTCCAAGAAGCCAACGCATAACTCGGGAACCAATAGAGCTACAGCGCCGCGGAAAAGCGCATTCGATAGCCCTATTAACGCCCTTTCTGAGTAATCCTCTCAGATTTGACCTAACGTCAACGGTTTTGCCTGCAGGGGGCAAAAACTGCAAAAATAGCCGATTTTTTCGGAAACAGTTTTTCTGCAATAACTTTTGACCCAAGCCTTGTACGAGCTTACTTTTACCGGCATCGTGTTCCTCTCGTCAAGACGCATCGAATGAACTATAACTTGACCTTGAAAGGTCAACTTGAAAATTTGACCTCAGGTCAAGGTCATGACCTGACCGGAAAGGGTCATGTTGCATATCAGTCGATCCGTATCGTCGAGCTGAACACATCTAAGGCGTTTTCATCGCTCTAGCACGCCTCTATCAAAAGTTATTCGCGAAAAACTGTTAGATATCATTCGTGACCTAAGATGACCTCAGGGCATAAGCAAGGGTCACGGACACCATTTTCATGTTCAGTGTGTCTAAACCACTTGTAATTCGGTGTTTGGGAGTGTTTATAATGTCTTTCGTCCAAAAGAGGCGCATTTCAATTTTCTCCCATTGACTTATAATGGGGAGGTCGCAAAATTGACCTGACCTTAGGTCATCGATATCAAAATTCTGAGATATACATTTTGTACATACTATTGCTCTTAGCAATCGCTGAAAGTTTCAAAGCGATCGGTCACTCGGTGTAGCTATGACAGACATTGAAACTTTTTATGAGGTGAGGTCACTTCAAGTGGCCTGGTGACCTGACCTTGAATGACCTTGGTCTGAAATTTTCACAACATGTGTAGAATTGATGTATGCTAAGGTGTACCAAAAACGGCGGCGCTCCGCGCCGCCGTTTTTGAGATATTCGCGAAAAACCACAAGGGGGGGTGTTCAAACACCCCCCCCCCCAGCAGGGCGCGGGTTATTCTACATTCCTTTATAGAAAGATCAAATATGTAACACCCCTTTTCCCGCTTACCTTCAACCTCTGAGCAGTGACATATTTTCTTGATCGATTCAAAAGGCATGGAAAACACGAAGCAGAAACTGAGTGCGTAAGATATTTGGTAACAAGTATCACATACGCTCTAAATGACTTTCTAAGCAGATTCGAGAGTCAGTAATTACCTATTTAATCACGTCGCGCTCATTCATAAAGTCAAACAAATACCTAAGCTGATTGGTAGCGTCATCTAGGCGATCATAAGTGCCAAACTGCTAGTTGAAGACTTCTATTATAGATGGCACTGCTAGACAAGCCAGAGCGTAAGTCACAGGATTTTACCACCGCCGTGAAAAATTCCTAACCAAAAGGTGCACTCCGGTCCCCTCAACATAAAACTCTCGATATTTCTCTAACCAATCAGAGTAAGCCCTGCTCGGCGCTGATTTGCTCATCAGAAAATGACGTCATTAGGGAGCCACGGCGTTCAAGCTATTTCGTGGCGGCTCAGGTGATCCACTTAGAAGTCATATTTTGATGTTTTTAGAAAAGTCTGATAAATGCTTTTATATTTTCAGAAAAGAACCCCTAATGTTGTTGTTGATAAATACAACTTCGCTATTTTTGCCAACAGTAATAAGACAGGAAATCATCTGTTGGTGGGTCTTCACGCTAAATCTACCACCCCCAACTACGTCATCATCGTTCCTGAGCATGCTGTACTTGGTCATAACTTCATTGCCCAGCACTAGTCTAGCCTTGATTTCCGCCAATCAGAGTGCAGAGCTGTCTGCCAAGAGACAGCAGTACTCGATATTAGTGGTGGGCCAAATACTTGTTTTCTCAGATGTTTTTCTTTGGAGCCTTTTATATCTTACTTTTGTTTATATTATATATCGCTTTATATTTTGTTTTTGTAAAGAATATCCGCATATATTGTGATTTATATAGCTTGATTTAGCTAATATGGCAAAGTGTTTACGAAGGGGTGCAGGGAGATATGGCAGCAGATATGGTGCTTGCAAGTAGTCTTTGTACGCATGAAATAGTACCCTTTTTTCGAGCCGAAAATAACCTATTTATTGCAATTTATTGATGTATCATGCCTGAATTCCGAAAAGGTGCTCTTCGTAGCATTGAATACAGTCACTTGTGTAGTTGCAAAAGGTCACTGGCCAGTTTTGTGATATCTCTAGGCCAGCTAGGGAAATGTCTAAATGCTATGTAAACAGGGTTAATAATGGTTGAGGAGAGACAAACGATGACGAAAACAAGAGCGAGTGTGTTGTGTGCACTGAACTCTATGTTGTGTGGGAATGGGCCGAAAACTAATTACTTATATTTGTGTTTTGACTGAAGAGCTGATATTTTTCCACTGGTATTAGTGTACGAATTGAGGTTCGGCATCACAGTTCCGGTCAGTATCTTCTCAGGGACTGGGATGGTGCTGGTGTCGTAATGCTAAAATATTTTGAACTTGAACTGCTGTAAGTTTAAGTGCAAAGCTCGTTATTTACTCATACCTATTTTCTGATTTCGATAACATTTATCTCAATTATTTGATTAATATTTCAGCGATACATGTCAATGTCATTGATGAGAGGTCCGTGCATACCTATGTAAGTTGATTGTTGAATGTTTTGGTGCGACTGCCTTTGCCACTAACTTGTACAAGCTGTACCTATTCAGTCTTCAGATTTCCCATGTGGCATGTTTTTATCTTGAACTGCTGTGATTAGGCATTGGCATATATTTCATTTAATGTTAAGATAATGAAAGGAAAACACCTACATTTGATTACCTGTGACAATTTCCATGGCAAAGTTCTAAAAAAATATAACTCATCAATAGGTAGTTCTTTTTTATTTTCACATCATCCTCTCAAAGTTCCTGTCCTATATATGAAATGTTACAAACTATCTTGACTTAATGTTTCAGGCTTATCAAAATGGATCACAGCTATTCAGCAGCAGAGCTTGCTGAACCCAAACCAAACAGCAGGATGAAGCAGTTGTTGTACAGCTTGCTGCTGAAGCTGCTACACCTGCTGTTCACCTGTGCAGAGCTGGTGTACGGGGCTGTGCAGAGGCTCATGTGGCAATTCTCTAGAGTTCCAGTCACCCCGCCACTGGCAGACATCTGCGCCAATGGGCGGCAGCTGGCGAAGCGGCCAGAACACCTGGGCGTCATCTTAGTCGAGAAGGATATCTGCTGGCAAACGCTGGCCGACATCATCCTCTGGAGCACGGCCTACGGCATCCACTACGTCAGCCTGTACGACCGCAGCGGGCGCGTGCGGGCCGGAGCGGAGCAGCAGCTGCGGCCGCACCTGGAGCGGCGCCGGCGGGCGCTGTTCGGCGCCGTGCCGTGCACGGTGTCGCTTGTGGAGGGCGGTGCCGAGCCGGGACCCACGGCGAACGGCCACTCCGGGGACGGAGGCGGCCAGTACCACGTCTCCGTGGCGCTGCTCTGGGAGCCGGACGGCGTCGGAGACATGGTGGCCGCCGCGCGCCGGCTCTGCTCCGAGGTGGCGTCCGGCGCGCGGCGCGCCGACTCCATCGACCGGCACATGTTCGGCGAGCAGCTGCGCGCCGCCGCCGCCTGGCCCGACCCGGCGCTGGCCATCAAACTGGGCCCAGTGCGCGCACTGCTCGGCTACCTGCCCTGGCAGCTGCGGCTGACGGAGGTACTGGACGCACCGCCGCGCCGGCCGCTCCTCTATCGGGACTTCCACCGGCTGCTGACGGCGTACGGCGGCATCCAGCAGCGGATGGGCACCTGAGGCCGCCAGCGCCCCGTCCCGGTGCATTCCACGGTCAGTTCCCTGCCGCGGCCGATCGTTGCCACAGTGTCTCACTAGCTACAGCGTGGGTTTGTGATCGATTGTTATGATGGAGATTGTTTATGAGACCAGTGCCCGACAAGTGATAATTGGACCTGACGTTATAGTTAGAATGTCAATACATGATTGGGCTTTTGTGATGAACATACCGTTTTGAGCAGTTTGGATCCATTTCGCGCAAAAGAGTTCTCATGACACAATGCATTTCATCAATCATTTCAGCATGTGAACACATGAAACAGCGAATTTGGTTGCAGCTCTACAGCCTCTACATATAAAAGCCTCTTGCAAAGCAACCAGTCGCTGACATCCTGACTGGTAACTCAATGTGACTGAAGACACGTTGCCTAACAAAGCATCACTTCAACGGCGAAAGTCGGGCCTGGACCCTCGGCTGCACATTGTATGCACAAAATCTCAACAATACACGAATTAGCACATCACCACTTCATAACACGCAGTCCAGCCGCTACGCCTGGGTAACTGAGTGCGTTACACCACTGTGTCAGCGCCAGTGATACGGTGATTGGCGGCGCCCACTTATCTGCTTCATCACAAGTTTCGATATGGTGTTCCACCGGGCACCGCTGCAGTCGTTCCACCGTCCGCCATAGGGGCAATGGTTGTTGCATAATACCAATAAACAGCCGCGTATAGCGTCCTACCCTCCCGCCCCACATTGAACACCCGTCCAGTCCGTGACCCCGGTCAGTCAACGGCCTTGACCGGGGGCAGGTCACGCCACCGCGCCTGCGCGCGTCGCAGCACCTCCACGGCGTCCGAGGAGACGTTGAGTGCCGCGTGGATCGGCTTCAGACCCTCCTGACCGGCCAGTGAGAGGCCCGAGATACCTGTTGAAAGAAGAACAAAAAATGTCACGGTGCGAAATTACGATGGACGCACTCATTGCTTACCATCCTGCTCATGCTACGATAGACGTGGTAGGGAGGACGGTATTATCTGCATTCAAATACGATGTTTCAACTCTTACATAGTCGGCCGCTTACTGTACTGTGCTTCAATGCTTACTGTCGCAATTACTGACTCAAAATAATGCGCAAGCACCCAACACTACACCATCTCTCGCTTGGTCAGGGAGAGGGAGGAACCCGGTCACATCTCCCTTCTTTTCTTCCAAAACACGCAGCTCGATCATTAACCCTCGTTTCACGTATTCGTCTCACCTAGGTAGGTGTGCAGGGGGTCGGCGCCGTGTCCCGGCCACTTGGAGAGACCGCCCGTGATGGGGTCCTGGGTGGAGTAGACGAACTCCCGCAACAGGTCGGTCCGCACGAACTGGTACGCATCCAGTAACTGAGCGAGGGGAGAGGGAGCCAGCACAGGTCAGTGGTGAGGGCAACGAGTTCACAGAACGGCACTCTGGGTAAGAGCGATAAGTCCAGATGAAGACGATCAGTCCAGATGAAGAATACGAGCTGGATGTGATATGATAATAAAAGGACGACAACAAAAACACCGGGATTAAAAGCTCATAGCTCCCAGGTTGTGTTCAGTGAGCAGCATCATAGGAAAAGGAGATGGGCACCAGCCGCTCACCCTGAGTGATGCGCCGATCCAGAAGGTGTAGCACGAATCCTCCTGTTTGTTCGGTCGACCGTTGAAGCCCAAACCCTGCCGACTCAGACACCAGAAAACCAGGCCGTCTCGCTGTACGCGGAACAAGAGGGGAGCATGTGATTAGATATGAGTATATCAACGTACAGCCTCAGCTGCTAACGCAACCACATCCCACAGCAAAAACTGGTTTCCAGACAACAGAAATACAGCTACAAAAGTTGATTGTTACCCAATTAGTAGGGCAAAAACCACAAAGCAATGTCATATAAATTTACAATTGAATAACGGGGTGAATGCGTTGAGTACCTAAAATTACGACTAATTAAACGATGTACGTCCTAAATGAATCCTCCTCCAGTGGCACGTGGCTGCTTGGAATGCCTCACAGCCGACAGTCACTAACCGAGGATTGGTTCGTACCTGTTGTTCGGTGAGCGCCGAGTCGAGCTCGCCCATCAGCGCGAGCGTGGCCACGGCACAGAAGGTGGAGCCGCCGTGCGACTCGAGAAGGGGTCCCTGCGAGATGCCGTGGTCGTACCTCTGCGAGAGAGAACATAAAAGTCACACAGTCGACTGGATATCGATACAGGTACTATCAATGAATGAGTTAATATCAGGGATAGTAGTAAATAATTTCGATTGTTATTATCCTATAAACAGCACTGCTAGGCCGTTTTCATGAAACCGAAATAAGACCGCTGCATCGACGATGTTGAAACCAGCCACTATGTATTAACCACTATTAGCCAATTTACTAAGGCACACTATTAGAAAAAACACTTTTAACCCGCGCCCCGTTGGGCTCTGCCGAGCAACGCGCCCGGTTGGGGGGGGGGGGGCATTTTGGCCCCCCCCTAAGATCTCGAGAACCACGCAACATAGCGACAAGCGGTAAACGGCGTTGGATAGCCCCAACGGGGAACTACCTTGTGACCCAATTTTATTGACCTAGGTCAACTCGATGACGTCACAGGTCAGGTCAAAGGTCCAATTTTCACCGTTTACAGGCACTTCAAGAAATGCGTTATAAAATCGAGTAAAATGCATTTCATTGAAAATTATCGATGGGGAAATGTTCTTCAAACACATATTTTGCTATTTGAGGTCACTGATACCAGGTCAGGTCACAGAGGTCAGGTCACGGGGGGTCACAATATGAAAGTGTCGTGTGATACATGTTTTATGGTCCATTTTACATGACAAATGCGATTATATGGGTCAGGCAGCCTTTGGGGCCAGCTTAGATCACGTTTTGGTCAAGGTCAGGTCAAGGTCAGGTCAAGGTCAGGTCAAATTAGGTCAAATTTCAAAGTTAATATTTTTGCATAAAATGGGTATCGAATCGATGCAGCTCGTCACGGGGAGTTCAATGGTGGTCTTTGTTTTGCCGTACGTGGTCTAGAATTGCTAAAAATTGAGTTAAAAAATTTGACGTCATCATTTTTGAACAGTTTTTTCGCTATAACTTGGCCAAAAAACGAGATATCGATCTGAAATTTGGTATGTATATAGAAGAGCGCTGGGACTATCACATATATTCCGGTTTTTTTCGAAATTCGGAAAGTTTTTGGATTTTTTCAAAGTTTTTCTAAAAAAATCAATTTTTTGATTTTTTTTTGGTCAAAAACCAAAAATTTTGAAAATTCGAGATAGCAATTTTGTAGCGCCGCTTTTTGTCTACTAGACCATATAAAGAACTTTGAAATTGCTTGATAACTGTAGATTCGGTGAGCGTTTCAAGATTGCATGTTTTCTGCTCATTTTTGCTCGAACATGACCTCAGTTTGACCTCAATAACTCCTGACCTAAGGTGACCTAAGACTTGAAATTTGGTGTGAAGGTGTCAAATTGATGCCCGGGAAGGTACTGAAAATTTGGCGGCGCTGCGCGCCGCCGTTTTCCTTGCTATTCAGGAAAAACCACAGGGGGGGCCAAAATGGCCCCCCCCAACGGGGCGAGGGTTAAATGGCCTCCTTACAATGAAATACCGAAAGATGAAATAACGAAATAATTATTGATGATTTCGACCACAGGTCATTATCAAAATAAGCCAGCCAGACAGGTTCTGTCTGGCTTATTTTGATAATGACCTGTGGTCGAAATCATCAATAATTATTTCATTATTAGTTTCGGTATTTCATTGTAAGGAGGCCATTTAAAAGTTTTTTTTTTCTCATAGAACTTATACCTATGCCTTACATACAGCAAGTGCTTCAACAAGGCACACTATTGGTACATTGAACCGAACCTCGGCTTGGCACCACGCACCATGCTGCGCAGGACGTACTCTCGCGTCTTCTCGCGGTCCATACCGGACCAGTCGTCCAGCATGTAGGAGACGGCCGCCGCGCAATACACGAACCGCATGTCGCTCTCACCGCCGTGCAGGCTAGACAGGGAACTGACGGAAAGGGACGCTAATGTCAGACTCAGTCGGACTGAAATCACACGGACTGAAAGCATCGCGATTCGCGAACACTGGCGGGAAAGGGATTCTATGGTTGAGTTTTGTGGAGAACTGCGGCACAGGGAAACAACGTCGGACAATTTCGTGAAAAAATGACGGCATATCCCAGATTTTGTAAGAAAAAAAAAATGACAGCATCTCAGGGTATCGTGAAAATGGCAGCAAAGGAACTCTATAGCCGACAATATCGTAAAATTGACAGCCGTCAGCCAGTGACATTTGATCGCGAAAGCTGAAGATACAGTGATTTTATAAACGACTATAGTGTTAATCTGACGGAACAGCGGTGCTGTAAGACACTACCGTGAAGGCTGACAACCGTTTACGGACACACCACGCCAATTTGACGTAAATCACGAATTTGATGTAAAGTTATCATTCAGCAGCTAGCAACATGACAAAGAATGACCACCGGGCTTTTCAGACGTCAAAAACCTGGCTGTCACTACCACGCCTGGCATCTGGTGCCGGACACTCTGCCAGTCTCTCTAACCTGCCGTCGGGCAGCTGGAGAGCGCGCAGACCGGACAGCAGCGCGGCACGGTCCACTCGCGACAGGTCGTCACCCAGCACCAGCAGTGTGGCCAGCGCCGTGTACGTCATTGTCACGTGGCTGCAGTCCCACTGGTTGAGCGGAGCGCCGGACGAGTTGGCCGGTGAGCCGCGGAAACCCGCGCGCGACAGGTCGCCGTCTGAAAACAAGAGTCAGGGTAAGTAACTAGTTCACTAAAAATGACAAATAGCATGAAATAACACACTATACAAGCACGATTGACTGAAATCGAACAGGTCAAATCATTGATTGTTTTAGAAATAACACTGGAAATTGTAGGCATCAATTCCATACACAAGCCCTGAATTCTTGAAATTATCTATTTGCTTGTCAAAGTGGGGTGTTGTACAAGATTATAGAATTCCCTGACCACACCGAGCTCACCACATAGCTCGGAGGTAATTTGTTGCCTGTAGACCCATTCAATAACACTTTGTTTATCCTGGACGAGATCCAGTTGTCCCAGTAGATCCAAACCAGACACAGCATAAAACAGCAGTGTCATCCTGAAAACACACAATATCGTAAAAACTAAAAGAGTAGGTACCAACAATTAAGTACCTTGCAAACATTTCTGACATGTAGATCAGTAGGGAGGCCACTGAACTAATAAATGCAGGCATTTTTCCAGTGAAAGGACAAACTATCACTGGCTGCCTTTAGGTCCTGTTGCCTAGAAATGTTATCAGAAAAGTCAGACTCAGGACACATGCAAAAATGTAGCATGTGACAGGGTTGATCTCTTTGAATCATTAAAGGAATAAGAAAATGTTTCATATATATCCCATGATAATCCATTCAAGGCTTTATCTTCTAGGTTACCTATTGGATAAAGGGCCAATAGAACATCTTTTAGACACAGGTCAATGACAGAAGCCCTGATAAAGCTGTGAAGATGCTAATTGTTTCACTAGTCTGGTGGAGTCTAAATCTGTAGTTATTCTGCAGCTGCATAAATTGAGTTAGTAATGGGTAGGAATGGATGGAAACAAACAAGGGCTGCAACACAGCATACACGGTACACACACACACAAAAAAAAATTAATATCAATCTGCAATGGTACCTATGCTAGATAAGCTTTGAGACTTCATTTATATAAGTCAATCAGATGCAAAGAGATTGCCTGGTCACCAATTTCACACCAAAGATTAGCAGCAACCAAGGCCCTATAGCAGTAGCCTGGCCTTCACCCATCCATTCAACCAATGACTTCATTTATAAAAAAGCATGCTGTAGTAAGCATAAATGCACATACTCACTGAAATTATAATTTCTTAACTGACCACATCACTGTTGATGCTTGCCATACATTTGACTTCGTCTTTGTCAAAAATAAAGAATGATGTTACACTAACAGGTCTTATGAGGTATCATCAAAATCATGCAGAACAGCTCCAAAACATACCTGCTGGTATCTAAGGAGGTATACTCTCCCGGAATGGAGTCCATACAAAATTTAAAATACCTTGCATGTCTCTTGTGCAAGAACTCCATCATGCAATATCTGAAAAAGGAAGAGGTCAACACAGGTGGTGATGTTTATCAAAATAAGGCATTTAGCATAGATGACTAAGGGAATATATATGTTTCAATTTAAATAGGTCAGGATTTAATTACACATGCAGCAGGTTAGTTAATTGCTCATTTCTGAGTCACTGCTGAGTACTGGATGTTTAATAAGTTGGTAAAATATGTGCAAAATTAAAGCATTGATTTGAAACCAATTACTTCAACTTCATTTGTAGATTCACATCCACATACCTGTAACCTGTGTGGTCACACAATTTTACAATGAAAATACAATTCAGGTTATTATTATTCTGCACGACAGCTTAGTCAATGGTAAATAGAATACTGGAAATATTTGGGTAATAAATTCTAATAACAGGCTACAACTGATTCTCGTAACTTTTGCTATTGTAACGCTATTGTTATGTAAATTTTCTGAAAGAGCGAGGGAGCGCAAAGTCTTGAGAACATTTTTCAATCCCCAATCGCTTACCTACCATAAATGCAGTGCCTGTAATATTTCTTCTAAACACAATTAACTAGCTTGGAAGCTTTTTTTGTGGCCCTAACTTACGTTACCGGCCTCGCGAGGAGGGCGGCGACCTAACTACGCCGCACAAAACAAACCGGCCGTCCTAACTAAGACCGGTGGCCACTTTTACAGCAAGACAACATGGGAAAACCCATATCCATGTACTATGCCATGAATATGGGAAAAAACCCATGAATTTACGTTAAGACACATAAATGACAGTGAAACTTACCGGTAAATTGATGTTTGTGAAGGGAGGGAAGGAGGAAGTTTGTGAATGGTAAGGTTACGAGAGTTGGATGACAGGAATGGTTTGAAGAGTGGGGGATATGTCGCTGGGAGGGATGGGGTTTGTGAATGTTTAAAGGGACCCTCCCACCTTCAAAAAAGTTAATGAATTGGCATGAAAGTGATGTCGCTCGGTTCAGAAAGAGCAAAAACGGTCATACCGGCCACCCGTCCCGGTTCAGACATTAGTTAATTCCTATAATATAGACATCATTCTATAGAGAAACTCGCGTTTAGTAACAATATTGTGTCATGCAGTTAATCTAACCAACAATTTCCAGCTATACCTAACTTACCGTGATCTCACCACGATTTCCACCCGCAGTTTGTTTTCAACATGTCAGCTGTCGTGAGAACCTGCAGTCAGCTGTTGCGAAACATCTACGCAGAAATATAGTACCCTTTTTTTAGCCCAACATACTAGGGGAAATGTGGGGAATCGGGGTTTTGGGTGGGGAAGGGGGGAATGTTTTCACATGACGGTGATATTTGAAAAGAAAAATATTTTTGTTATAAACAACAATTCAACTTTTCCATTTAATGAGGTAGTACTGGTCAAGTACTGGCAGTCCTGGTAGTACTGGTACCTATTTTTAGCCCAACACACTAGGGGAAATGTGGGGAATCGGGGTTTTGGGTGGGGAGGGGGATTATTTTCACATGATTGTGATATTTCAAGAAAAAATTGTTATGAGCAACATTTCAACTTTTGCATTTAATGAGGTAGTACTGGTCAAGTACTGGTAGTTTCTGGTAGTGCTGGTAGGACTGTTTGATAATTGATATTCATAGCGAAGCTAATTATTTTTTAGGCTCATTATAGCTATGATAATATTGATGAAGAAATAAACCTATATTTTTATGAGGTTTCAATCAGTCATCAGCACTTTATGCCGGTTCCTTAGTATTTTTTTTCGGGATTTTGCAGCACCTTAAAATGTCTGCTTTTGTACTAAATTTGCTCAGTTCGCATCATAAGTGGCATTTCTGGTTATATTATGCTACTTCAGCCTTCAATATTCCGTGGTAGGAAGAAAACAGTGGTAAAGGTTGTAGACTATCGGATATATAATGTCTGAATGTAACATTTTTGGAGGAAAATGGTGCTCTAGCGCAACCTGTAAGGTTAAGTATTGCCTCGTGCTCGGAGCGAAGCAGTGCATTGCCGTAGGCAATGCCTTAGGAGAGATTACAGGCAATAGTAAATCAAATATTTTTAGGTTAAGTGGTTGTGTATCTGGCTTCAGGCCGAAGGCCTGAAGCCTGATGCATAACCACTTAACCTGAAAATATTTGATTTACTATTGCTTGCAATCTATTCCTGCAAGTAACTTTCTCTCTCCCGGAAGGCAAAAATCAGTAGGTTAGGTTAGGTTAGGTTAGGTTAGGTTTATTTATGCCCGCGGTAGGCAAAAATCAGTAGGTTAGGTTAGGTTAGGTTAGGTTAGGTTTATTTATGCCCGCGGTAGGCAAAAATCAGTAGGTTAGGTTAGGTTAGGTTAGGTTAGGTTTATTTATGCCCGGTAGGCAAAAATCAGTACGTTAGGTTAGGTTAGGTTAGGTTAGGTTAGGTTTATTTATGCCTGTAGGCAAAAATCAGTAGGTTAGGTTAGGTTAGGATCTTCGGTAGGCAAAAATCAGTAGGTAAGGTTAGGTTAGGTTAGGTTTATTTATGCCCGGTAGGCAAAAATCAGTAGGTTAGGTTAGGTTAGGTTAGGTTAGGATCTTCGGTAGGCAAGAATCAGTAGGTTAGGTTAGGTTAGGTTAGGTTAGGTTTCTTTATGCCTGGTAGGCAAAAATCAGTAGGTTAGGTTAGGTTTCTTTAAGCTCGGTAGGCAAAAATCAGGTTAGGTTAGGTTAGGTTAGATTTATATGTGCCCGGGAGGCAAAAATCAGTAGGTTAGGTATGATTTGGTTAGGCTAAGTACTGTAAAACTGCATTGAACTTGACAACCAACTATTTTTTTCGTCGCTAAAATTTGCTTAAATTTGACAACATGGTCTGCTGCAAAACAATCAGCTAACAATTTAACATTAGGGACATTATTTTAGCTAATACGATGCCCTTACATATAATATATAATTCATTTAAAAACGATGTGTGGTGAACCACAAAAAACAACACCAAATGTCAAAGTATTTACATGTAAACATATATTTTTAATTTCGTGGCCACCACTCATTGCCACATTTTGCTGTGTTTTGTATTTGCTGCGCAGCAATTGTCCACATGGCGGAGGCCGACCACTTGAAAGTAGATCGTAATGGCGCGGGTTCGTGTGCTCTGAGGCAGTCGGTTTTGCATCGATTTTTCTAGTGTTTCAAGGTAAGATTTTGCAGGAAACTTGGTGTAAATGTGAAGAGTAAGTGTTTTGTAAGATAGCATGACACTAATCAGATTGAATTAACTACAATAAAAACGCTTGGTTATGATGGCCTCTCCGACCCAAACCGGTATTTTCAGGCCATGGCCACCAATTTGGCTATCTCAACTCAAATCTAATGTTAAGGTGGGAGGGTCCCTTTAAGCGTCACGATGAAAGGAATGGTTTGGAGGATGGGGAATCTGTCGCTGCTGCAGTTGGCGGCCGACGGTTGTCTGTGGTCGTTCAACCCGGCCGCCGCCGCTGTTCAGCGGCCGGGGTCCGCTGGTGTAGCTCGCTGGGCCGCTGAGCCTCTAAGCCTACTCCAGCGGCAGGAGAAAACCCGTCTGCCACCGAAGCTCTGTGTTTCGGCACCAGTGAAAAACCCGACCCATCCCGTATCACAAGTCAGCCTGGTGGTAGCGCAACGGCAGTAGGCGGAACTATGGTCATGAGTACCCAAATATAGGAACGTTCCCATTTTTGGGAACGGAGTTCCCAAATATGGGAACGGGCGTTCCCATTTATGAGAACGGAAGGCAATTTTTCGGCCGTTCTCCCACTAAAACTCAAAAGTGCATCACGTCTCAAAAAAGTGCACGCTGATTTAAGTATATACTAAATCTCCATAAAGTTATCTTTAATCTGACCGTGGAACAAGGAAATTGACCGTGGAATGATATTTTTAATGATTTTTTGAAAATGACAGAATGGTGGAAATATGGGTTATACGACATTTAACATGCAATTTTAAGGAAAATGAAGCATTTTTTAGTTTGAGGTAAAGTATAATAATTTTCGCGTGGTTATGAACTTTCATACTATCGACACCAGATGCTGACAAATGCAAGCGAAGACGCGGACGGTCCCGAGGTAATATTGTTGACTTTTGTGTCGGGGCGGACGACCGCGTGGAACGTGAGTGAATTTACCGAGCTACTGTTGTAAACTCAGTTTAAGCGGTTGAAAATTATCCAGCTGTATTTTATCATCCTGGAAAGACATATTTTATTTGGATGCTAGCTGTTTAGAGCTGTTTTATAAGGAGCGTCATGAGCGTGGTTTTTGTCTTCCGTGTTTCTAAGCGTGATCGTTTTGGGGGAATTTCTCTTATATAGCTCGCTCTGTGTGGCTTATTTATAATTTTTATGCTGATTTCGATAATTCCTCGTGCCCATCCTACCAGGCCTTTTGCCACTTACACTCATCAAGAAAGGAAAAAACTAGATTTTCATTGGGACTAGGTGTTTTGAGGGTGTGACATATTCAGCGTTCCCATTTTTGGATACTTCCTTGTACTCGTCAACTATCGGTGATAAACAGACAGGTGCCTGACATGTCTCCACCCTCAGCGCGGACGGTGGATATAGGTATGGAAGACCTTGTTGAACATCGCTGAGCGTTGTGAATTACGTAATCCTGCAGAGGGGGGCGTGCCCGCTGCGAGATCGACGGGAATAAAAGCGCAGAAGACCGGGCGAAACATGCGACGGTCTTGCCGGAAAGGTCATCTGATGATTGTTGCGTTAACAATAATTTGCGGCGTTGGACGTGATGCTTGTTAATGAAAAGAGCCCCTGAAAGGCGTCGGTGAAATCGTTCCCAATTTTGGGTACGCCGTTCCCATAATAAGGAACGCTTGCAGCGCCAGTGTACGAGAGCGTTCCCAAATTTGGGCTCGCGGCCCGGATGATGGACTGCTTTAGAAATAGGGGAATGATTTGAAACTACGATGGGCCTTACAATATCAAACTCTTTCCCAACAATATTGAGACAAATATCAGGCGGTTCACAATCGTTTTATATTTTTTGGACGTCATTTAACGGTTCTTTTTCTTGTTTTAAATAATGCCTACATGGCGTTCCCATATTTGGGTTTATCGTTCCCAAACATGGGAACGAAAATGCGTTCCCGAAAATGGGTACGCTTGACCATAGTTCCGCCTACTGACGGGCGCCTGCTAACAGTCAAGGCCGTTAAAGTAGCTCTGAGTAGGGTGATGTTAGGACGAAATCAAGTACCAGGTTTGTCAATGTTGTGTCGTCCCCGAGAAGCGTCGGGAGGTCGTTTTTAAGGTGTTGTACCGCAAGATAGTTAGTGATGTGTCTTCGTTCGTGATGCAATGCCGTGCATGCGATCAAAATGTGCTCTACGGAGATGCGTGTGTCACAGGTGTGGCAAATCGGAGGGCCCGTCCTATCAAAAAGGTGGCCATGGGTGAGGCGAGTATGACCACACCTCAATCTGGCCAGGGTCACCTCGCGTATCCTGTCTGGTTGGTTACATGTGACCCATGTTCTAAGTTCTCGTTTGATCGCATACATATGTGCAGCATGATGTTGGTCCCATTTGCGTTGAAGGTACTCGGCGAATTTGATTTTTATCATATGAATAGCGTCCCCTTGGGCCATAGGTTCCACAACTGGATCAGGTCGCATTGCAGCCTCCTTTGCGAGGACATCCGCACGTTCATTTCCTGCAATACCGTAATGACCTGGAACCCAAAGAAGGGTCACATGCTGGCCCTCATTGAGATCTGATGTGATCCTGAGAATATTGTAGATACCGTGGTGGGTAACATTATCGGTCCTTTCCAGTGCTTGAAGAGCGGATTTCGAATCAGTACAGATGGTTGCCCGATCAATCTTTTCTGCCTTGATGTGCTCCATAACTTTTTCGATTGCGTGAACTTCGGCACTAAAGACTGTCGTAAATTCTTGAAGCCGGGTCCCAAACCTAAGCCCAGGGCCGACGGCTGCTGAACCTATCTGATTTTCGTGACATGAGCCATCTGTGAAGAAAAAAGCAGAGTCGCAGTTGAGCTCTACATACTCCTGGAAGAGCATTTGAGCTTCCACCGGACGTATACTGGTCTTCTTATAATCAAAAAGAAATTCAATGGATAGGTCTTTGAGGAGCCAAAATGGAATCATAGGAGGATTTAGAGTAACTTCAGTGCGCCTAATGTTTAGCAGTTGATGAGCTTGCTCAAGGCACCCGGGTAGAAAGCACGATCTACGCAGTGGGCGTCGGGTTCTTGGTTTCCTCGCCTCCATTGCTGGTACCGCAATGTGATTTCGAACACTTTTTGCTCTGTAGTAATAGCGGAGGAAAAGAAAGACGCGTCGGTCAATGGGTGGGTATCATGATTCATACCTAAAGCCTAAAGGCACATTTGTAGCCATATAATTATAGATAAATGGGTAAGATATGTGTATGCTCTGAAAAACATGTTAAATTGAGATGAGGATAGGGCTGGGATCACAATTCAGTCTGAAGGGTACCTACCTATCCAGGTCGCAAGGTCTTTGTCGCTGTCTCTACATCTTAGGACAAGGAGGGCCTGCACGGCCTGCACATCACATGGGGCATATGGAGAGGGGAAGGTCAAATCTGCATAGGATCCTATCAGGTCACAGGATCTTCTGCCTTGCATGGGGCTGACTACCAGGTCAATCATGTGTTAGGACTGAAATAAAGGAAAAGGACTTAACTGAAATAAAAAAAAACTCCAGTTGTCAATCTTGTGAAAGGTGTCCTATGTGTGAACTGTGAAATGCTTTGTTTTTATTTGCTGGGGATAGCTCCTGCCCATCATTGTCATCATTAACAATCACAGGATTTGTTTATAAATGCTTGCTGCATTAGAACACCTGCTTTAGTTACAGCTTACAAGAGGTCTGGAACAGCTGCATGAGGCTTGCAGTTGATTATTATTATTATTATTATTATGTCAAACATCCACCAACCACAGAACAGTGGGCATTACGGTGGCATAGCACAAACAGACGCACACATGCATACAATTTCACACATATTCATATATGAACACATAATCGACTAACACAATATTCGGCGCAGTGTGAAGCAATCCATACGCGGAGATATAAATAACCATGTGTCCCATGTATGACAATTAAACTGTGTGCTCCTTTGTTTGAAGATATTTAATCAATTCCTTTTTAGATGCACTTCTTATCTGTGTCGGCAAACTGTTCCACAATTTTGAACCCTGGTATGATAAGGAGCGTTTTAAGAAGTCAGTTTTAGGAGCAATAAGATCAAGGTTACAAGCCTGTCTCGTATTACGTTCCGATTTCCTGGTCCTAAAGAGGGATGAAAGTAACGGCGACATGGTTTCTGGATAGAGTAGGCACTGGCGAACAACGGTGAGGACAGCAATGTTGCATTCCAACTCGAGGTCACCGCGCCATGCAATATTTTGATGTTCTCTACCTGCGATGCGCCGCGCAAATTTGACAATTTTTGATATTCTCTTCCTCTGAGCCAGACCACATGTGCCCCAAAGAGACACACAGAAGCGAAGATGAGGAAGAACTAGAGCATTTATCAATAATACGATGGTTTTGGGAGGTAACACATGACGAAGGTGACTTAGGCGGATTAACATGCCTATACATCGGCCTACGACGCTGTCAATATGACTGCTCCAGGTGAAACAACTGTCTATTGTCACGCCTAGACTCACCAATGTACTTTTGACGGGTATCACAGCATCAAAGATAGTAATGCTCCGCAAGTTGATTCGCCTCAAAATAGTTTTAGAGCCAAAAACAGCTACTTGTGATTTACTGACATTGATCGTCAGGCGATTTCGAGGGCCAGGTCTGATATTGATAGGTCTGATATTGATAGGTCTGATATTGATACATCTAAACCAGCTGTGTACCTTTAACCTGACATTGTTGCAGGACACATAATGGAGCTTGAGGAGACCTCACACAGCCAGACAGCCTACCTGTGATTGCACTGCCTTTGAGAATCTGAAACCATTGCTGAAGATACCAGTAAGCCACTGGCAACTGCTTAGTGCTTAGTGCCTGTCACCTGAGAGAGGCTATTGGAGGCTTATCAAAGAACCTGGCACCTGGTGCTGGCTCAGCCATGCTCAGTGTGCTGACTGACTCTCCTGTGGCACCACTGGTGCTGCTGGTGCTGACCTGCTGTGTTGGTGACCTGGCCCTGCACCTGACGGCCGCCGCCGGCCCCTGCTGGCCGCGCGCCGTGCTCGATACGGCCACACACGGCCTGGTGGCGCTGTTCACGTGGACGGCCGTCACCTGGAGCACTGTCAGCTGGAGGCTCGCCGCGCTGGCCGGCTTCTGCGGTGCCGTGATCGATCTGGACCACGCGCTGATGGCGGGCAGTCTGAACATCGAGGTGAGCGGGGAAGCACGTTTTTTACGGTCAACTCTTGCGCTTTTTAGAAAGATCAGTGATAAGTGATGAGATCACAACTCCGTATGAAGTTCAACAATGTCTGATCCGTCTCGTGCGACAATTTCGTTTTATGACGGAGTGAAATTATCTACCGTTGATTTCCATGAAATATGATCTCACCGTCGTATCCTCCGTTTCCCGGCACATCTTCCTGCACTCCGACATCTGTGTGCATTCAGCGTTGACCATCCATGCCGTCCGCAGGCGCTGGTGAGCCTGCCGTCGCGGCCGCCGCTGCACGCCACCAGTCCGTGGCTGCTGCTGCTAATACCGCTGGCAGTGGGTGGCCGCGTCTGGCGCACCGGCGCCGCCCTGCTGCTCGCCGCTGGACTGTCACACCATCTCCGTGACGCCGGTCGCCGCGGCCTGCTGCTGCCGCCTCTCGGCTCCACGCCGCCGCTGCCGACACCGATCTACCTGACCCTGGAGGTGGTATTGTGCCTGGGGCTGCGGCACGCGCTAGGTAGTGCCACTGTCCCCGCTGCTGGTCGGACGGTACTGGACGCAGCGCGGTTATTGTCGGTGTGATTGGAGGTGATGGGTCGCGGGTGAACCAGACAACGGAGGACGATGGATCGATATCTGTCGCATGACGGGCTACCGTGTATTTAACGGGTATGCGATGCTTGCGAGAACCATATTCATTATTTATTGTTGGAAAAGTTATATAGCTGTCGAGCCGACTTACTTGTTAGTACTTCAAGTACCGAAAGGGCTGTGAATTACTGATGTTCAGTGGTCGTTTCGCTATGGTGTTGGGTAGGGCTATTCCGCCTCTTTCATTGCGCATCTGTGATAACTCCTACGTCCTGTAGATCTGCCGGTCAATTTTCGCGTTCGCTACCAAAGATCGGACCGCCAGCATACAGACCCTTTTGTACTGTGCCCAGTCCATTCGCACTGCCTTGTGTTTGTTATTAAAGTGAATATATCAATGTGACAATTGCGTTTGCTGTTTTCCGTGCCTCATTTGCCTTTGACCTGTCGTACACTGCCACTACATCAACAGACAATAGCTGGGTTGATTGGTCATGTATTCATCCCGTGAGCCATCCTACCATACTAAGCATACACTCGCCGGACGTCGCACCGCACTCAATACCGAATGAACTTTCTAAGCACTATCGGCTTTAAAATGGACACATGGCATGCTCAAGGACATCAGATACCCCAGCATATTCTCACTCGCATTCAGACTCCCAGTCACATGTATACTGTGAAAATCACGCCGAACACATCTGAAACACACATACTAAAACGAGACACACATTTCACATTGGTTCGTATTCACAGAGAGCTAATAGCTCCCTCGGGCGGCTCACCGCCACCACAACCGAGCACCATTATTCCACTAGGGCCGATATCTTCTGGTATGCCTCTGTGGCTCCCACCTTTTTCAGGACAGCTGCGATACTCTTCAGCGATTCCCTGCGAGAAACGTAAAACGGTCAGAACTCGGACCGAAGAGGGGTGTAGTAACAGACACTGTTACGTGCAAAGTGTGACCATGCGTTTTACACATGTCGGATTTATCAAAACATGCAAATTGTATCACCAGCGGATACTCAAGACCTATAGCCGGTTATTTTCATTGCCCCCGAATAAGGAAAAGAGACCCGTGGCCGTATGTATCAGTCGGGACAATGTAGCCAGACGTTTGACGAACTAAAATTACATTAGAAGCTTGTTTTGCGACAAGGAGACAAATTATCCGATCCCACCAGTCGGATGGGCTAGGGATCGCCTCGTGGCGTGAGTGATTGGCTACAATTCTATTACACTCCACAGTCCACAGTGCACCCGGCCGTGCAGTTCCCCCTTTATAGCAAAACTCGCCACCCATAGAAAAGGCCGCATCCCAAGCAGCAAGAGTTATAATTGGACGTGTCGATGACTTACGATTTGTTGGCGGCCTTGCCGAGCTGCACGGCGAGCATGGAGAGGTAGCTGACGAACATGGCCAGCTGGGGCACCGTGGTGTCACCCTGGAACCAGCTGCGAGGCAGCGTGTTGGCCACCTGGCGAACAAACGACGCAATCAGCGGATGTTAGCGTAGCAAATACAGTCCAATAGCGGGACGAATCATACATTATTGGGCATATTCACCGACACCACCTCCAGCATTACAAACTCTGTTCACACAATCCTCAGCTCGGCTCGCACATACGGCTGAATCGCAAGGCATACCACCCATTTCCCGACAAGCAACTACACTCCCCCCCCCTCCTGCCATCGTTGACCCGGTCCCCCTCCCTCGCCTATCCAATCCATCCCCCTCCCGCCACCGTTCACCACTCACCAGTCGGCACCGGTTGGCCGCCTCCACGGGATCCGGCACCTGTGTCAGCGGCAGCAGCATCTGCTCATTGAGGAGCGTCCCAAGCGCCAGTTTCTGCAGCGCTCCATCCGACAGCAGCTCCGTCCAGCTCATCATATTACCCAGCAGTTTCACACAGGTCGTGAACTGTCTATAGAAGAAGGCGGCGGCCGGCGTGGAGCGGCTCTCCAGCTGCTGCTTGGTGAAGCGCGGAACGGACGCGTCCTGGCGTACCGTCTCGGTGAACGCGGTGACGACGGCCTCGAGGAGGCGGCGCAGGGGACCGCTGCCGCCGGTGACGGTAGGGTAGTCTCGCGCCAGCTGACGCACCAGGTGCACCAGCCGGAGTGTTTGGGAACTGGACAGCGGGTCCCAGACGCGCTCCACCAGCGCTGCCGGACACAGGAGACGGAGTCACTTCGTTAGAGTGGAAGGGGTGGAAGAATGGGTCAGCGAATCGGCGAACCAAGCATATTCCATGCAACGTGTTCATAGTCACCAACTAGCTTATTATGAAAGACCGACTACAATATCTTGAGTTTTACAGCTATATGGTTGAACACTTTTCTCCTCTCATGGTGTATGCCGCGAGGACAGTACCAACTAGCACACATTTACCGCCCCAAATCTCAGTCGTGTCACACGTACCGGTGATTTTGGGCAGCACCACCCTCTCGACGACGCGCGACACCAGCAGACAGTCGGGGTCGTCGCGAATGGAGTCCTCCGTCTCGGCGGTCGGGTCTGAGCCGACTCCGAACATCACCAGCTCGGCAAACCACGGCCGGCTCTCCAGCTCGGGACACTCCTGAGGAACACGGCGGGACACGGCATTGTCACTGAACTCGTGGCAAACGTTAAACAATGTTTGTTTATTTAGTGCGAGGGTGAGCGTTGCAGAAGACACTAGCTCCAATAAAATATTGACATTTACTACGCAACAAATGCGTTTATTTCGAGTCAGGTTACTCAGAACAAAACATTTAGCCAAACGATTCAGACAGCCCAAAACCGGAACTTTGAGCCCCTCGTCCATCAATTCATATTCTTTCTTCTCGCTGGTAGATCGGCGCCAGCTCACATTCGTTTCTCAGCTTCCTTTCAGTTCCGTCACTGTCATCCCCTCCCAATCACCCAACCTCTCACTCCTCCTTCCCTTATCACTCACGCCTTCGGTCAGCGGATTCCATCCTATCATCTGCAGCCGCACCAGCGGCGCCAGCGCCTTGGGCAGGCTGAGGTTGACGAAGGCGTCGCGGTACGCCTGCGGGTCGATGCGCCGCCACTCGAGGAAGTGGCGACAGACGCCGGCCAGCGTGCTGAAGTCGTCCTCCACGTCCTCCATCACAGCCTCAGCCGCCTCCATGATGGCTTCTGCGATACGGCACAACACGGAGAGTGAATAAAGGGGAGAACAGAGCGGTTCCAAATGGTGTAACACGACAGACAATGGAACTCAGCTTCAGTATCGTGACGATATGGGAGACATTATGTCCCTTATCTAATGCATCAGGTCAAATATATCTTGATATTATTATTATTATTATTATTATTATTGTTTATTCAGCATCGTCATGCGACAAAAAGATACATACCCCCCCCCCCTCACCCACACACACAGTTAATCAGCACTCAGGAGGTTAGTAGTCTTAACAGGCGCCGCGAGGCCTGACAGTTACTTGCCAAAACCATCTTCAAACTGTCTATAAGACCGCTTTCTTGGAGTGGTGCCCGGACTATGTCGTGATCGACGTACCCAGCAGCGATGTGCATGATAGCGCCGAAATTCCCACCACACAGATTATATACGTGGCCAATAAACGACCCATCCAACTGCTCGGGGTACGTAGCAAGTCTGGCCAGTCCAGTCTGGCCAGATATAATGGTTAAAAGGCTCATGAGAGACCGCAGGGTGCTAGTGGGTTCAGACATGCATGTACTTGGCAGAACAACTTGGCAAAAGCAAGCATTTGGCAGGTAGCGCTTGATTGCAGGTATATATTTACATTTATTCACATCGAGAGCATGTCGCCAAACCTGGCTCTATCACTACTACCTCAGCTTTCTCTAACGGTCGCCTGTCTCACCTCGATCCTTGGTGAACTTCTCGCCGTCTGCCGGCGCGGTTTCGTCATCCGAGCTGAGACCGTCCTGGTGGTCTGCGCCGCCGGCCGCCGACAGTTCGCGCGCGCGGCGCCGGCGGGTGCGGCGGCCCTCGCGCTCAGCGGCCCGCCTTCGCCGCGAGGCCACTTCCTCCGCTGACTGCTCCGAGAAATGGATACCGGACCGCTCTGCCCGTGCCGAGGCCAGTCAAACGTCAGCGGGTTCAATGGGAGCAGGCTGGGGTATCGGGCATTCGGAGGCGCTTTTCACTTTACACAGCTCTAAGTCCTATCCTACCGCAGTGCACTTACAATTACTCTATAGTGTATTTACATACGTAAAACATACCTAAACGGCAAAAACGAGGGTAACGCAATCGTCACCAATGAAACCATCAAAATTACATCAACGTTACGCTACAACCAACATAAAACTGAAGCTATCGCAGTACATTATTAGGAGTAATCCGTGCAAGCAATGGCAGAAGGCGTTTGATTGCACTGCTATATACAGCCATACCTCATAATACGGACTTGCAACACAAAAAGCTGAAAAGTGTGCACGTAGGTTTTCTGTAACAATCGCACACCGTTGGGAACTGCTAGTTAAACAATCATTCTGGGAAAAACTTCAAGTTGAAACAGGGTATGCTAATTGATGATAACCTTTGCAAATAAATGAAGTGTGTGATAGCTAAAGGTAGCGTTACTTCTGCAGTCTGCACGTTTTTATGCAGCCTATTAAAGTCTAAACAAAAGGTCTAAACAAACACTGACCATTCGAAACAGCCCTTTATCATTTCTGTGATATCTAGACCTGTCAGTGTCAAGATTTCCTCCACTCCCTGAAAACCCGTCGCGTCCCACACCCCAACTCACGTGTGCTGGCGTCCAGTTCCATACGCTGGTCGCGCACGTCCGTCCGTCGGCGCACTATCAGTTTCTGCGCGCGTGCCCGCTGCACCTCCAGCATACGGTTCTCGAGCTCCTCAATCAGCGCCATCTGTTGAGAGACGGGCGAGTCAGCGGAGGGCGAGAGGACGGTGCGCGGTGGGGCGGGCGGACGAAGCACGGGCTCCGCCACCCGCCGCGTCCATCCCCGGGCAGGGCCGGCGGTGTCACTCCACTGAGTCCACTCTAGAAAGAATAATTGATTCGTACATGGACTGCAGGTTACATATCCAAGGACTGACTTGGGCGATGCTAAAAAATCATCCATTGTTCATCTGTTACTCCGATACACAGTTTTTTATTCCGCCAAGACCACCTCCGAAATGAATACCGAATATTAATTTGTATTTCAGATTTCGAGGTAGGAAGCAAAGTGAGATGTCAGGTTATTTGAGCGGAGTGACGGCACCGGTCCTGCCCAGACAGACATGAATATTGTTTGGATAAAGCGGCGTCCGGTCTCAGCTCGCCTGCTCCTGAGGGGCCGAATGGTAAAAATAGCGCTTGTAATTACAGCGGCTACAGACATCCCGAAATGAAAGAGTGAATAGTGAGCGATAGTGGAAAACGACACAGT